AACAGGGGATATCGAGGCTTCCAGCGGACTGGCTTCAATTAATTAATACATATAATGTATTTAATAGTTTATTCTATAACTATACTGTTTTCCAAAGGTTCGGGAACTTTTTTCATATCAACCAAGTTTCCTAAACATATTTAATTGCCCCTTTCTACATAATCAGTATTATTTTGAACCATGAACTTAAAGCATTAGTAAATTTTATACAATTTAATGAAGGCCCCTTTATGAAGATGCTTATTAGCGATGGTGGACAATGTTTGTATCACATGGGCAACGGCGCGTAGGGGCTAAGCTTAAAAAGGGTAGGTAAAATGCATCAAATTAAAGAACTATATTTCAATAGACTATGATAATCTATAAACAACTTATATAATAATATATAATATTATGATAATATTATATATATATAATTTAAATAATAAGTTAAATATAAGTTTATTTAATTATTATTATATTATTGTTGTTGTTTATTATATTTGTGTGTTTGGAACATTTTATATAAATTTATTATTTATTAAATGTATAACAATGTTATAACGTAGATAGTTACAGCATGTTTTTTTGAATATGCAGGTTTTTCCAATTCTGTGTCTTTTCTTCGCTAATGGTGTTGCCTTGCATATTAACCGTGACCAATGTTATCAGCCAGTGCCTGTGAGTATCAGTCCGATAATGTTGTGATGCTCCTCAGAGTGACAGACCTTGGGTGTTTACTTTCTATCCGAGACTGTTTTTGGCCAGCGTGCCTTTTGAAAGCTTTTCCACTTCTATTGCAGGCAAAGGTTTAGCCGAGATATGGGTTGTGCCGATTTATTCCAGGGAAGTTAAGGACCTTTTCCTATTGCTCCAGCTTCTTAATTTGATAAGTATTCCTTCCTTGACATCATCTCCTCGCAATGGTTATTTAAGCCCCCTCTCGCCGCTTTCGATCCCTTTTGTCCCCCATTTTCCACAAAATATCTATTACATCCAAATCTTTTTATCGGTTGGTTTTGCATGGTGTTACCCAAATTTTGGTTAATGGCAGTACTGTGGCCTTCATTCGATGAGACGATTGAGCATAATTTTTGGGGCACAGTGTGGTTGGTTTGTAGCATACGTTTTGTCATTATTATAATTGGATGACTATAGACGTATGTACGAAGAAACATCCAGCGGCAGCTCCTCAACACTCCCACTGCTTACCACTTGGTAGGACACATCTGCTCATGACTAACCCTATGCACCGCAACCTCAACTCACGACTCTTCTTCTCCTGATTTGTGTCTCATAATGATATTATTTGATAAACAATATAAAAAGTAATCTCCTGTTAATTTCTCAAAGACGAGATGTTATGGTAACCCAAAGAAAAGTAATAAAAACATTTGCGTTTTGAACATGAACATTACGAATTTTGGGACCTTTTGATTATTAAGATCTCTTACAGAGTTCCTGTTTGATATTATTTCATCAGTTCCAATTGCATACCAAGAACAACCTTTAATGAGGAACTGAGTCAGTAATGACTGCCAGTTCCAACTAGAAACTGTTGGAACTGTAAGGAACCAAAAACTGGAGAACTGAAAAAAAAACGGCATTGTTTTTCTGCAACCAATAAACCTTAATGCACCCTCCTGTGTATGAAGGCATGTTACCAGTCCTATCTATAAATCAACCTGTCCCTGGATTCTGTACTAACGCCAAAACGGTTACTAATGTCCCTGTTAGGTAATGTCCTTGATTGTTTTTATATTTTAAGTATAAGGGCTGGGTATCCAAAACCTTTTATTGAGTAACTGGCGAAAATGTGTCGATAGTTATCAAAGGTTGGATTTGAATGCCTTGATCTTGATTTTTTAGTTCTTCTTTCCTTCCTCTTTTAGTTCTTTATTCTTTCAATCTACATCTAACAAAACCATTACATTAACAAACTTATTACGTTATTTTATTTTTGTTTTGGTTTTTGGTAAACCAAAAATATCAAAAATTTCCTTAATCCCGTCTAATAAAAGGCAACGGAAAATATGAAAATGATACCACAGCCCTTATTGGTGGTAGTGAAGAGACTTGAACAAAAGCACAAAACTGGCATATCTGTGAATTTTATGGTTAACCTAAAGAAACCCAAAAGCGAGTCGTAATCTGGATACTGTGTCCTGGAAGGTATAAACGCCTTAAATTCCACAGCTCTGTGGACAAGGCGTTTTGCTGCCTTAATTTTTGGTTGACCCAATCATAATGACTTTTTTGTAAGATTTTGCTTTTTCCTTTGTCACCCCGTTTTTACAATTGGGAGTCCCTGCAAACAGCACCGTAAATCTACTGCCGTTCCCTGTTTCTGAACTTCCTTGCCCAGCTCGGATCCTGCCTCGTGCAGCTTGACACAGCTTCTGTCCAAAAATAGATCAGGCCCCAATATTTTAAACATCTGGTGGAATCACAAGCTTTGTCTACAATGGCAGTGACCATTCCGACAGCGGCGGTGGCGGAACCCCCAGAATGCATCGAAAGTCATTCCACATTGAATCCAGCCCGAAAATCTCATCAGAATTTGTAGTAACACAAATGTCTAAAATTACAGCCTTGGAACATAAACCTTAGTCCAGAAGTATGTAATGTGGTTCAATCCCAATCCAGTTTTTAGTGGGTCTTTAACAAGCACTACTTTTCGAACCCTTTGGCGGGATTAACGCTAAGTTCAACAGAAAGGCTTGCGGCCTAGTCGTGGCTAAAAAGATGCAAGAAAAGGGCAGAATTGGCAAGAAATGTTTTGTTAGACACAGTTTACGCTGAACAAATTAGCCTACCTGCTATCAAGTGGCTACATGGTGGTAACCTGTGCTGTTAAAAATTTAAAGTAGTCCGTTAGTTTTACCATTGCTAACAAATTAATCATGGTTTAAACGGGTTCAAATTGTAATGGCAAATGCTGTAAATAGGATATTAGAGTAACTATTAAGTGTAGTCGTTGCTACTTTGTTGCTGTGCACCTCTGTCCGTCTGTCTCTCTTGTCTCTCTCTCCTCTTCTGTCCTCCTCTCTCTCCTCTACACCCCAACTGGTTCGAGGCAGACCGACCCACCCCACCTAGAGGCCGAAGGGTCTGTCCCCTAGGGTTTCTTGTCTGTTAAAGGCAGTTTTTCCTTTGACCCTGTGCCAAGTGCTTGCCTCCATGTGGTACTTTGTTGGGTCTTCTGTAATAATGGTTAAAGGAGTTCGGTCCCTAGACCTGCTTCCTATTTGAAAGTGTCGTCCTGCGATAACTTCTGTTATGAATTGGTGCTATACAAATAAAATTGAATTAAATTGAATTGAATAGAGTATTTTAGAATACGGATAGTAAACCACAAAAACACGTTTTACCTTTTTAGAGAGACATCTTAAGAAACCCTGTACAACCGATGGCACTGAGTCATACAAACTAACTTTTGTGGAATAGCAGCTAACCTGGAAGTGACGTCAGGACTGTGGCTCTCGATAGGTAGTAAGGCAAGGTGAGATAATGTTTCCTGACACGTATTACAAATCACAATAGGCATATTTCTGTATAACATTATATTCTGCTGCAGAGAAACAAGGCACATTTTTAAAACAGTGTTTCAGTGGGTCATCTCCTTTCAGTAAACTCATTAACTGAACAGTTTGAAATGCTAAGGGAAAAATATCTTACATAGAGATAGAAAATAAATAAAAAAAATATTATATAAAAATAATCTCTTACAAAATATATTCTATCAACCAACATTAGGGGGATTTATGTCTGGAAGCTCGCGTTTGCTTCTGGTGGTGTCAACTTAGCTTGAACCGTCAATATGGCTGCTCAGTCACAAACTCCATAACTTTCCAGACAACTAGCAGCAAACTGTAGGGCAGAGGGAACAGAAACAAGTAGAAAACAATACTATCATACCAAGCCCAGGATCAGTAGTTTAATATTCTTCTGCGAGGCTTAATGCACATAGGCTGCATGGTCCCAAATATGTCATTCAGTCGAGTTCAGTTTGTGTCGTTTCAGTTTTCAGCTCCAGTGTGTGAGTTGTCTTGTTAAAGAAAAAGAACATTTCTCTTTGCGTAAGTGCACTTGAATATTTGTTTACTAAAATGCCTACACCAACTTAAGACCTTACCAGATTTAGTCAACAGTGAGTTTTCAAAATCATCAGTAGTTTTCTCATTGAATAAATTATTAGTCTAGAAAATAAATCACTGTTTGGAGGTGAGTCGTGCCAGTAGACCAGTATGGCCTGCAGAGTCAAGCCTGGGGCATGAAATGGCATTCAAATTAAAAAATAAAAATACAATTTCTAAGCCCATAGGTTGCGTCCAGTGTTATGGCAGATGTCCATTGGCATCAGTATAATCAACACACGTTGCAGAAACCGGTTGTCGTGATTGTTGTAATACCAGCAAGGTAGTTGCTCCGCAGCCAGTCTTTTTCTGAAATATATTAACAACGCACACACGTGCACACACACACACGCGCAGTCCGGTCTAGCTGTGCGTCTTAATACATGTCCAATAAATATTTCTATTTACAAGTATACACCTCTGTCCTCTCACTGCAGGTGTTGCATTTGACGTAGCAGCACCACAGGAACTTGCAGTTGCACTGCCAAACGCGTGAGTATTGGTGCGTGTTATATCCTCGACCACAACACATCAGGTCACAGCTGTTGGGCTGCTGAGCCGTTTTGTTGCACAGGCGACCTTGTGTTCCCATGCTGCCGGTCAAAGGGTCGGCCTCGCAGTAGTTGGGCGACCTCTCGATGTAGACCAGCTCCGTGTCCATGGGCTTGCGGTAGGAGTGGGGTTTCTTGATCTTTAGGAAGGTAGGGCGCTTGTTGCGGCTGGCTCGCACCGGCTCCACGTGCACGGCCTGGTCGTATTTGTCCTTGAGCATGTATCCCAGCTGACGGAACTTGGGGAGCGTCGTCCAGCATGTCTTGGTTGTGCAGGATCCCGACACGCCGTGACACTTGCACTCCAGGCGCATGCCCTTCTCCAGGACCTACAACATGATGAAGATGAAAATGTTAAGATGAAGACAGGGTTTCAAAGTCTCAAACTGAAAAGTGTGTTACAACTGCCCACCTAAAACCCATTTAATTGCGTTAGCTCTAAGGTATCTTCCACTGTAAAAAGATAAAAGTTAGGAGGATTACACACTATTTCTTACAGTTTGTTTGTTGCTGTCTTTCCATAATGAGCAGGTGAGAAACATATGAGTTCACAGAAATACTCGTCTCAAAGATATTGCATGAATAGTTCAACAGGTTGAGACAAAAGTTTTCTAGCATTCCAAATGAATGTAAGCATTCCAGAGATCTCAGAGCGGCTACAGTATGTCACCCTATGGCTAGTAGCTATGTACGTGCCATTCTTTTCACAAGACAGGTTGAGCCTCAAAACACACTGATGGAAGAAACATACATTGAGCATGGAAACTTAATAAATTCATGCCTGCTATTCACTGTCATAAACAATAAAACATTTTTAAAGCCTCTGACATTTTGGTACCCTACATTCACATTACAGGCATTTTATTTCCTATAGCTCAAATATTAAACGCAGCCACGTATGGGAGCTATAGATACAGCATCCAACAGAAAAATAACAAATATGAATGTGATAAATACAGTCTGAAAGGAAAGGGGGGGGAGAGAGAGAGGGGAGGACATGCAGCAAAGGGCCACAGGTTGGAGTCGAACCTATGGCCGCTGCAGTAAGGACCTAGCCTTGGTACATGGGGCACCAGCTCTACCAGGTAGGCTACCAGGCCGACTCTGAACCTGAATTTTCAACAGATTATCCGTCTCATTTACTACCGTCAGGATATACAGTATAGTTTCAGTGACAAAAAGTTATTTTTATATAAAAACTAAAATACAGTTATCACTGTTGTTTTCAGTAGCAGTCTTTTGAGAAAAGCACAGCTCAATAAATGTTTCCAGTCAATGAAAAAGGTGGAGAATCAAGTGAAGTCCCTGTAAGTCAGTTCAACAATCTGCAAATGGTATTTTTAACAGCTGATTTTTTTTGCCACACTTTTGCATTATTGTTTTTTAACCTGGTTTTAATAATTCAAGTTACCAGATAAACTGAATATTGCAGGTCAAAGTTGAATGCATCTTTTGTCCGCTGCCTCTACACAGCAGTCTGGTTTGTGTTTCATGGATCTACGGTCTCTTGAGCAGCTGCTTTACTACGGACAATAATGGATAAACCGCAAAACTTCTCTTCGTCTGTGGTTTGAATGAAATGAATCTGTAAAGGTGATGAATTCAGACTGCTGGGATAATTTACGAGTTCCTGCATTGACTAAAGAGACAGTTTGGTCTGTCACCACGTCGAGGCATTTACAGACTGGCAGCGCTGAAAGGCCTTTTCAGGGTTAGAGTGGAACCTTTCGGCATGTTTGGCAAAGCAGCTGGGGTATTCTCTGTGTGCCTCGGGCTGAATGACATCAGCTTACCCTCCTTCCTCCTCACTGAGTGGGAACCCTCGCTGGCATTAGAGAAGCCTCACCCTGCTTTTTAATTATTCCACTCTGATGTGGCCTCAGACTTTCTGGAGTCTCGTGGGGTAATTGTCAAAAGCCTTGGATGCATACAGCTTAGGGTGGTCATGCCCCCGAGACCTGACAAACATGGAATTCAAGGAGTTCAGTGAAGTGAACTGCCAACGAAGCTGCCATTGTTTGTCTAACAGAACCCCTGTAAGCCTCCCGTGGCACCTTTTACACTATTGTTTATTCTTCTCAAGAAATTTGAAGGCTGGCACTCAAAACACACACTGACATCATCTTCAATTTAACATGAAAGCCTTACTACAATAATTACAGAGGTACCAGTTTTGTAAGTGTATATTAAGAGATTCACACACTGTATCAGATTCTGACTGATGCCAGACCTCAAGTATGAAGCCTAGTCCGGAGATGAAAGTACTCCTCTTTCCTCCTGAATCAACCTGTCACTGTGACACTGAGATGAAATCTATCTAAGCAAATTCACTTCTCAGCTTCTCAGTTTATACACCCTCTAAATACACATTTTCATGTATATTTCTCTAATAAAAAGTTGTGCATATTAGGGAATTTCCACAAAGAGAAACAACTGAAGATATATTTGGCGCTCAAACACATATCTGAAACATGTGGCGCTACAATGGTTGTATTTTTAGAACTAGCATTAAAATCACAGTTCACAGAGCATCAGCTTGTACAGAATGTATTCTAAAACCACAGTGGGTGAACAGACATGCTCTCATATCTATGTAATGACACGAATGGCCCTACAGGGTTCAATGTGTTTTTAGAGGTCTTCCTCAGACTTCCACTGATGTGCCTGCTGTAGCTTTTACAATAAATTGCTTTCTTGTGGGGCCACATTGTGTACAGTCCTGTAGTTTCTATTGATCTGTCATTTGGCTCCCTATGTCTGTCCACTGGTAAACAACATCAGCGTCTGGCTAATGCACTCTCATGTGGTCAAGGGTCCGCCTCACTGGGCATCTTGTTACCTCTTCACTTTACATTATTTGTGTTCTCTAAATGACTTTAGGATCTGACCACACTTTGTACTTATTGGCTTTCTAACCATTCATGAAAACTCTGACTGCAGCCAATCAACTAACCATGTTGAGCCAAACTTGCATTTATACAGACTAAAGCAGAGCTGAATGATATGATCTAAACTGCATATCATTGTAAATTAACCAATGTGCCTCAATTCATTTACAATAAACGTAATTTATTGATTAAATAACCAAATATTCTGGAAATATAATCTGTTGTCCTGGGAATTTTTTTTCTCACTCACCTAAACCTCAGTATTAACAGATGCGAGAGTGACTTGCAGCCATCTTTTCAGCATCAAGTCACATTTTTCCGTAGCCGTTAAGGTAATTCTCAGAAAAGCGCAGTGGAAATGGTGTAAACGGTCATATCGGCAATGATCACATTTGTTTCTGTGGTTGATAAATACCTGCACAGCAATGCTAATTGTACAAGCAACAAACACTTTCACTTCATGGAAGATTCATTTTCTTTTCTACTTCATTTGAACTAGAGGATTGAGAGGAGAACTGTAGTACTGGCTACCGTTCATGACTCATGTGCTATCCTGATGATTGCTTAAAAAGAGTGGAAACCCTGGTGTCTGGTTAGTAATTTAACAAATACCGTTTCAGTTTCTATCAACTTAACTGTATCCCTGTTGTAGCTCTATTCCACTGGAGCATCAGACACTAAATATACTCAAATTCTTTACAGAGGTTCTTAAAGTCAGCTGTTCAACGCCAACCACCAACACCATCATTTCTAGACAGCACAGAGTCGCCTGCCTTGGTGGCTCAGCCCTGAACTGAACACTCCGGCATGGCTGTAAGTGTGAATGTGTTTGCCTAAATATGTGTCAGCCAGGGATGCACTGATCTGATATTCTGGATCTGGTGTCAGCCAATCCACATGAAGAACAGTTCCTTTGTCAGTGTCATTATAAAATCTGCAGCCAGTTACATTCATTCAGTCCTGGCATGCTGCCAGCTCGGTTTTTAGTGCCACAGCAACCCCTGGTCTTATGTTACCTTACATAAACCTGATCCCAGGCCTCCCATGCAGTCAGGTTTACAGATTTAAACTTGGAAAAAAGACCACTCTGGTATTAGATTGGTACTCTGTATCAGTAGATACTCTGAGCTGAGTGGAGAAAAGGCTGATCTATGCATCCCTAGAGTCCACCCTGTGAATCATGGCCAGTGCACGCTGGGATAGCTCTTGCAAACGCAACAGTGGGTAAAGCAGTGCATAAAGAACACACATGTAGACATTCCCTGACTAGTCTACACTGTAGAGTTATTTTAACTCAAAAGAATTGTTGAAACAGATTACATTGGAATTTTAAGTAACACAAACTTTTTTTAAGTTAAGAACATTTTTGATTAAACAGCTTTTTTTAGTATATTAGTAAATGTATATGTAGTAATATTTGTGTTTTTTTATTAGGCCTTCTGTGTTTCTTGATTTCTCACTCTATAGTTTTGTTACACGTTAGTTCATGCCATCATGTTATCTAGTCATCTATTCATTCATAGTTGTGTCATCTCTCCTCCCTTGTTAGTAATTGGATGTTTTTTCTCATAGTTGAACAGATAATTCTGCTGAGTTCATTTCACTTCTACATATACTTATTGTGGTTTCTTAGTATCGTTGCTCTAAGCATATTCTATCGACATGCAGCGGGAGGAGCCGGGTATCGAGCTAACAACCTTCCAATTAGTGTACGACCCGCTCTACCTTTGAGCCTAATGTGACACTGACTTGTGTGTTCCAGAAACATTCCTGATTAAGTACTTTTTACTCGGTATTTTGTTCTTACAGAAAAAATAAAAATTACAAAATTAAGTCAGTGTCACTTAAAATGACTAAAGCTACTTGATCAGAATGTTTTTT